ATCTTGAAAATAAATCTAAAAAAGAGACTGATGGATATATGAATTTTCCAGAAAAAACAGACTGACTGGACTTGAAAACAGAACAAAACTGAATTAGAAATAGGTAATAAAGAAGACATAAAACTAACACAAACAAGACTGAAACTGAAGCTAAACTTTGCAACAAAAATAGATTGTAGTATCTTGAAAGGACATTGCATAGGAAACTGAAAAAGCTAACTCCAAATACTCTAACTCACTTAACCACAATAAACTAGTAAATAACCACAAAAAAACTGAGTTGCAAAGAAACAAAAGCTATAGAAGAAATTTGAAAATGACATGGCTCACAAATTGAATACACATTGACTTGCTAGGAGTGACAATGCAAAAACCTGTAAGATAGATAAAGTACAAGAAAATTAAAATACATCCACACTTTGAATCAAGCAATCTCAAACAAGTCTAATGCAATTAAAACAATGAAATTGGATGGTACTTAACCTAAATTCTAAAATTCTAAAGAACTAAAACTCAAGTAAAACAATCCGATAATTAAACTAAAGTCTAGGACTTGAAACCTGAAATTTATAACTAAAATAAAAAAAAAAATAGACTATACTAAACTTAAATAAACTTGAACAAAACTAAAACTAAAAATAGATTATACTAAATTGAACTAACCTAAATTTATTAAACTAACCTAAATTTATAAAATTAAAAAAAATAATGTAGCAAGACATGACTGAAAAGATAGGGCACAACCATAATAAACCTAGGAGACTCAAATACTAAAAGTTGAGAACCTAGATTGTACGTGATTGAACCTAGATTCAAGAAAATTGAACTTAAACTTAAACTACAACATAGAACTGAACTGGAACTGCACACAAAAAAACTGAAATTTAATTCTTTGAAACTCTAATGCATGTTACAAAACTAAAACTGAACCTTTGAGACATGACTCAAACCGATAACTGAAAATAAATAAAGAGACAGAGACCGAGAAAAAACTCTATGGACTTGAGGCCTGAACAAAAAGCTGGAAATAGGTTTTACTAAACTTAACCTAAAAAAAATAAAAACTGAACTAAAACTGAAAATAGATTCTACTTAATCGAACCCTAGATTTAACAACATTTGAATCACAAGAAAATTGAAATACATAACTCGCCAAACTCTAATGCGATTCAATGAAATTCGATGGTACTCAACCTAAATTCTAAAAAAAAAACTGAACTTGAAGTAGAATCACGATAATTAATTTTTTGGACTTGAACTCTAAATTTATAACGAAAAATAGATTATACTAAACTTAACTCTTAACTTGAACAAAACTAAAACTAAAAAATAGATTATACTAAATTGAACTAACCTAAATTTATTAAACTAACCTAAATTTATAATGCAGTTAAAGTGATGCAATGACAAACTAAACTAACTAAACAAAATTCAGAAAATGAAAACTATGAAGATAAACTAAACTAACTGCTAAAATCCTAAATAGTGAAAATTGAAACAATATTCAGAACAAAAATTCACACAACCAAGTTGAACCATAGCTACAAACGAAAGCCTAAGCCAGCTTGTAAATTGAACTGTACCCAACCAAATAGATCATAGTCTAGTGTAACGAACTGCGTTTTACTGGAACCAAGTGAAGCAAACAGCATGACTCAGCAAACTTCTGCACCATCACCACCGCAACAGAAAAGGCATGTTGCATGCCTTGTGTGGCTCACATTAGATGAAACTAGCCTAAACTTGCACATCTGAGTATTACTAGGTACATTCAAGGTACACAATGCCCATACTTCCCAAACAACCGAAATAGACACTAGCCATACACATATAAAACCTGTGTCAAGTATATAACTCAATCTCACACCACAAACTTAAATCATAGATTATTGTAGCTTGATTAATAGTTCACCAATACAGCCGGCATATGCAGATGTAGTCACTAGGTTTTATCAGCTCTACGCAAATACATATGTAGATGGATACATATATAGCAAGCAAAACAATCCCATGAGCGCAGCCATCAAATCGCACAAAAAAAGACAGGTGCGGATGATGCGCCTCTTATTACATGCATCTGGTCTGGTACCTCTCAAACGGGTTGGGCTGAGGTGTGAGATTGGTGACAGCCACACACACACACACTTGTAGACACACGGGAACTAGCTAATTTAGTGCGGCCACGTGCACGCACAAGATAGCTAATCAAGACTCCGGGGTTTAGTGCAGCCTCAACTAATTAAAATCTAAGCAAACTAATTCAATCCAAGATATCAGCCATGCGCCGGACATCCCAGTTACAGAAGAAATATGAATTTTCAAGAGCTCTAAAAATTATTTAATGCATGCAACATGCAAAACTGAAACCTTGAAATCTTGGTGACTCAGACTGTTTCTTAACTATGTGTCAATTTAAGGAGTTAATTAAACATTAACTAAATTTATTCAGGGACAAACAATAATTTATTTTCTCCCTTATGCTCATTTATTTTCTATAAGAATGCAGAAAACAATAATTTATTTGCACAAGCCAAAAAATGTACAACAGCAGTAGAAATGATACCTTGAATTTGCAAAACACAACAAATTGCTCCAACAAATTTATATTTGTAGTAGAAATGAAGGCCTAAAAAAAAGAGGAACACATATAAATAAAAAAAAAAATATATAACTACTACTGATGTACAATGCACACTTACATGTTCATGTCCTTCATGACCATGATCTGCTCGAGTACTTTCATCTACAACACGAAAACATTTGCTCCTAGCAGCCATGATTACCTAAAAATGACAAAAAAATCAATATATACTATCAAAATTCTCTAACAGTAGCAAAACATGTCATCTACCTCTACATCCACCCAACAATCCGAGCCAAAACATCTACAAAAGAAAACGACAAAACAATGAATCAACTATACATCCTACCATATTTGTAAAACAAAGCTCAAGAGAGCACACATACACATGGGAAAAAAAGAGCACAAGCGTACTTCTCTAGTTGACACTCACACGCACTTAGCATTAAATTCATCGACAGTGGAATGACGGTAGGGATTCAAATAACTCTCACATGTAGCATTCAGGTATCAGGTATCTCAAACTTAACAATACATCAGATAACTAAAACTTAACAATACATCAGCATTCAGATGTCAGGTATCATGTAACTGGAATTTAACTGAAACTAAAACAGATAAATACATTAACTAGTAGCATTCAAGTATCAGGTAGCATCACAAAAATCAGGTACATAAAAAAATCAGGTAGTTCACATTCAGAAAAAAACTCTGAAATGAACACTATAACTGGAAAAATAAATGAGCACTCTAAAAATAAACAATGAAACTAAAATCACGTAAAGGGATAAGAGGTAATTATCGTCATAGAAAAACAACATGCAGCTAAAAAATGTCTACTACAAAAATTATTCTGCAATGAGCATTACAGCGAGATACAAACTCATAATTAATTTTGTAGAACCGAGTTCTTCTCACAAATTAAACTGCCTTCAAAATCAACACCACATTTCCACTATCAAAAACAATTATAAATACCAATTTGCATAAAAAAAACAAAGATACAATCAACAACAATAACGTATCATTTACCTCTGCATCAATCGAACCATTCAAATCCCTCGAACCATTCAAACCACAAATCATGTGAACAATAATCACAGGACAATGAACCAACAAACAATCGTCAACTCCTAAAAGCTATACAGACTACCTGCAGAGACAACACCATCCGCCAATGAATCAAAAAATGGGGCAAAAAAACTAAGCACAAACTGAAGAACACGGGAACTCGGATCCCGCATCACCTAAGGGGAAAACCCTAGACAACGAACAACACAACACAAAAATCGCATTAAGCGGACACACAAACCAGATCTGAAACGAGGACAAAGGCATTAAACATCAACACACACATTGAATAATGCAACAAACAAACCCAAGCATCGATGGAACATATCACAAAGAAGGGGCAGTAAGAACTTAGCTCGTGAAACCCTAGAAACCGCAGCTCGCCGTGCCGGGGAGCGGCGCCAGGCCTTGAGCGCCCTGCACAGGCGGCCAGGGCCAGCGCGCCGCGCGGGGCATCCACGCCGATGGCCACGAGGAAGCGCGCGTCCTCCGCGTCCAGCCGGTCGCCCAGGTGGAACCGCCACACGCGGACCAGCGCCAGGCCGCCGTCGGGGCTGGCCAGGGCCACGCCCACCTGCGCGAACCGGACGCCCTCCACGTGGGGGCGCGCGGCCTCGTAGCGGGCGTCGAGCGTGCCGCAGGGCGTCAAGGGTGCCAGGAGTCGACGGGAGGAAGCCGAAACGAAATGAGAATGGGAAAAGGGGGAAACGGAGGACACAAAGGGCGTGTTTGGGACTGCTCCGCTCCACGTTTTTCAGCTCTGCTCCACGTTTTTTAGCCAAACGGTTTCAGCTCCACGCACTCTGCTCCAGGAAAAAGGGTGGAGTTGTGAGAGCACCTAAAGAGGTACTCCACAAACTCCAGTTTTTTGTGGAGCTGCTCCACGGTGGAGTTTGTGGAGCAGAGTTTGTGGAGCAGTCCCAAACACCCCCAAAATCAGGCGCAGCTCCCGAAAAATCAAACGGTACAAAAAAAAAAGCGGGACCCACATGTCTCAGAAACAACAACCAAACACCAAGATCGGACGTCCCGAAAACGTGCCACGAGACAACAATCGACGGCCCAAAAATCGGTTAGAACATAAACAAAAAACAACCGGGCAAGATATAGCAATTCTGTTTGTTTGTTTTTTCGTTCAAATTGTGTATAAACTCTTTTTTCTGTGTTAATTGAAAGGCAAGGCTTCTGCCACCTCAAAAAAAAGAAGAAAAACTATCATGTAAGTGGACCTTCATATATTAGTTATTATAGGTGACAGTGCACTAGCGTTCAGCTAAATTATTAGCCATGGTCTATGAGCAGAATACGAATCAAAAGCTTTCCACAAGCGACTGACAAACTTTTCAGATCAAAGGCTACGCGCGCCGGCGTCCTTGGCGGCGGGGAGATGGCCATGGCCTCTGAGCGAGTCGACGGCGTCGTCGAACATCTCCTCGACGCCCTTGAGATCGGCCAGCCCCAGCGCGCGGGCCTTGGACGTGTCGAAGCCGTACGACTGCTCGCCGTAGACGCTGGGCAGGCTCTTCGGGATCGGGTACGCCGGGAACCGCCGCGCGAGCAGCGCGACGAGGTCGCCGCAGCCTAGCACCGCCGCGTTGCAGATGTACCTCCCGTGGGCGCCCGCGGACTCGTACGCCAGGATGTGGCACCTCGCCACGTCGTCGATGTGGACGTACCCCATCCTCCCGTACACCGTGAACTTCGCCGTCTCTCCTGCAACCACAGCAGCAGCGTGCGTCTCATTGGTCACCCTTTCTTTCATAAACCTTGCATGCCGCAAATCGACCTTTGCATGCATATTGTTTACAAAAGAAGTTCAGTCCGGCAATCCCGTGCCGTAGTTCTTAGAAAACAGTGTTTCACCTGTTCCTGTTCCTGTTCCTGTTCTTTCTTTAACTATTTATAAATTTATCAAGTATGCCCTTTAAAGAAAACAGTGTTTCATTGGTATTCTGATAAGGATATATATGAGACTGATGACTTGATGAGGGTTTTTTTTTCTCTAAAAAAGACTGATGAGGGTTCTGTCCTGACAGAATTTTTGCATACCTTGGAATAAGCCGAGGACATCAGAAGCAGTGGGGCTGAGCTCAGGAGACAGATTAGGTCCGATAACGAAGGTTGGAAGAACAGTCACAAGGTCGATCCTGTGCTCTTTGGCAAACTCCCAGGCTGCCTTCTCGGCGAGGATCTTTGCAACGGCATACCATATCTAAGGGAGCAGCACATTGGCACGATCCAAATTACTCGTCTGAGAAAATCACCGCACAAGATCATAGCCTGAGTTTAGATTTGATAACCTTACGCTCACCTGGAGACTTTCGCAGTACTCAATGGAGCTCCATGACGTTTCATCCAGCAACACGTTAGGGGGCAGGTCGGCTTCATCCTTGATCCTCACGGTCGCTGACGAAGATGTCAGGACAACCCTCCTGAGGGATGGATTCTTCTTGCATGAGCGTAGCACGTTCAGAGTGCCGTTTATTGCTGAATCAAGCATTTCCTCCTGCAAAGTGGCATCGTCATATTTCAGTTGCTATTTGTTCAAGATTTTCTGAAGCTGAAAACATGAGAAACCTTCAGTTTCTAACAAAAATGGAGTGGTCAGAATTGCTGTTTCGCATGCCTTGGAATCAGATTTAGTGATGACAGGCGATGCAGTGTGGAAGACGCCCTCACAAGCCATCACAGCGTCGTCAAAGCTCCCTTCCTCCAAGAGGTCAGCTCTCACAAGCTGCAGCCTTTCCTTTGCGCCTTCCAAATTCCAGAGGTGTCCTACTTTCTTGTCATTCCCTATCAAGACATCAAACAAGTTACCTTGCTTTCAGTAGAGATTTATTTGACAAGTAATAAAAATGGACATAAACCATTACCAGGTATTACTAATAGATTAATTCAGACCAGCACAATAAGATGAAACTGACCTGGGTCTCTGACTGTTCCGAGGACATGGTACCCAGACTCAAGAAGCCGCTTGACGAGCCAGGAGGCGATGAAACCAGACGCCCCAGTGACACAGACTTTACCCTTAGCAGCGCTAGCCATTCTCTCAGACTCCAGGTGCTCCTGTGATTTGATCCAAGGCAGTTTATATTTATATTATGCACATTGAAGTACCCAGTATGGCTAGTGTGTCACCCCTTTTTGGTGACTCAGTTGGGCAGGTGGAGAGTTGGCTTGGTCATGTGAGGCTCACAGCTTCTGCACTCCACTGGATTAAACCACTCCCATCCTACAAAAGTTCACAGCTTAGAAAGGCATGAATTACCAACCTACTTGTATTGCAGGAACCTTCTTCCTTCCTACTGAGACGCTGCTTTACCAAAACTTTCTTAAACATGTGTAATTTCATCAGTTCAAGTTACTGGTTAGTGGTTAGTTTATTCCAATGGCAACTGTCCCTAACAGAATGAGGCAATGCACAAGAAGTTTCATTCCTGGACATTTTATTCTGATTACATCCTTTTTCTCGAAACAAAAATCTGATTACATACTGGTTGATGATGGCATGTCACTGCAATTCAATCAAAACTGTCACAACAAAAAAATTACAGTCTTAATGTACACAAAAAATGCGTAGGGAAACTAAATTCCTACAGAGCATGCAAAATGTATGTTGTACAGTTGATCTTCCCTAGGATCCCTACTCTAGTTCGGAGTAGATTCCAAATGCTGGGAGTTATAGAGGTGCCGTTGAGGAGGGTATCCTGGAAGGAGAGAGTTTCACACTAGCACAGATCTTCCCCTCAATATGTGCAGGTACAGGTAGGACTTGGATCACAGTGCAACAGGCAGACCTAATAGTGTGCAAATCCACTGTCCAATTTCACTTCTGAGGAGATAGGCCGAATGAAGAAGCAATTTCTGCCAAGTGCTGCCCTGCTGAATTTGTTATGAATGCTATAGGGACTACAGGCTGAAACATGAACTCATCGTCCTCCACCTGGAGGTCATAGCATGTTTTGAGTTCCATTGCTTTAGATTCTGTAGCTTCAGCTTCTTTGCGTAGTATCTCAACTTCATCAGTATCATCTGTTTCAGTTGCAGCAGTCAATTCTGCTCTAGCAGCAGCACAATCTAACCGGAGTCTTTTGTAACTTGTCAATGCTGACTCTTTTTCTTTAAGTACAATAAGCCCTTCGCATTCCTGTATCTTGTCTGTTGTTGCTACAATGTCCTTTTCTATTATCTCTAGATCAGTAGCAGCTTTCTCCAACTTACCATGCAGTTCGTCCTTTTCGGAATTAAGAGCTTTTGCCTCTGCAGCTATCCTTCCTGCTTCCTTAAAGTTTCTTGCAGCAGCCGCAACTTTCTTTTCAGCCTCTAGCTCAGGGCCCCTTTTGTCAATGAAGCTCAATTTCTGCTTAAATGAATCCATTTCTTGCTGTATGCTTGTTCTCCTTGACGATACCTCCTGCAAGACAAAATCAAGTATAAAATATTTAGAATAGCTTACATCCAAAACAAAACATGAAGCTCAGTATTTAAATAATACAAATATTAAAAAAAATAAAAGAATAGTTGGTGTACCTGAAGAGTAGTTCTTGCATCTGTAATTTTTTGCCTAAGCATTTGAATGTCTTGCAAAAATTCCTCCTCCATTTTTAGCAACTCAATTCTATCCTCTCTTGACTTCAAAATCGATGATGCAAGCTTTCTTCTTATTTCAACTGATTGTTGGCAAGTTTTTGCTTCAGAGGAACAAGCACCAATAATTTCCCTCAACTCTGAATCTTTTTGCTCTGTTAAAGAAATGAACTTGTCAATTTCATTCTTTTTCAACACAAGTTCTTCAGTCTCTAGATCCACTTTACTTTGGGCTTCCTTCAAGGAATTGAGCTTCAAGTCAATATCTGACTGAGAGCCATGGAATCTGGAGACCACTGAACTGATTCTTTCTTGAACTTCATGGATCCGGGCATTGTTTTCAGCTATCTCTGCTTCTTTCAACCTCACCAACTCTAGAAGCTCAGCTAACTCCTTAGCGAGGATTTCTCCTTTTTTACTAAGTGTATCTTTCTCCAGTTTGTCTTCTTCAACCAAATGCTCTATTGACCCTTCCAACCCAGAACGTGCTTCTAAAACCAACTGTGTTTCAACTTCAATTTCTAACTTCTTTGTTTCTAGTAACTCCATTGATGTTTGCCACCCTTCTATTTCTTTCGAGGATAATTCTTGTGCTTGCTTGCTCTCCGAATTAGCATGCTCAATGGCATCCTAAGAAAGGTAGAGTTTTACGAATTAAGATAAAAGAGTAGAAGCCATTGCAATTATACCATAAGAAATAGCAATTGTTTGTTGTTTAAGTTTGTATTGTAGATCATCTTATCTTGCATCGACTTTTAACTATGGTTTTGGGCACTAGATGGTTCTTCTTTGTTTCTAGTAACTCCATTGATGTTTGCCACCCTTCTATTTCTTTCGAGGATAATTCTTGTGCTTGCTTGCTCTCCGAATTAGCATGCTCAATGGCATCCTAAGAAAGGTAGAGTTTTACGAATTAAGATAAAAGAGTAGAAGCCATTGCAATTATACCATAAGAAATAGCAATTGTTTGTTGTTTAAGTTTGTATTGTAGATCGTCTTATCTTGCATCGACTTTTAACTATGGTTTTGGGCACTAGATGGTTCCAACAAGTTACATAACAGGAAGAAAAGATATATTGGACAAAGCTATGTGATGCAGACCTAATTCAGAAACTTAAGCAACAACCAGTCGCATGTAAAATAGTAAAATGTATCCTTTTCAATCATATAGGATAGCTCACTTTTGTAGCCTGTAGTCAAAAGGTTGGAATATTATCTTGTTTGAAACTTCTTGCCAATAATTACATAGTAAACATAGTGGATGATTATTCCTTGAGCATTAACAAAAATTGCATCAATACTACACACATAATATGATAGGACGTTCCATAATTTACACGTTCTATCTTGTGTTGAAATTAGCCCCTCACTAGATCATGTCTATAAGTGTTCTTCAAACAAAGAAAAGATTACACCAAGATTGTATTACAAGGTAAAAATTGTAAAGATGGTATATAAGTAGCAAGAATTCATATTTGAGAGTGGAAATTCAGATGCCTATGTGTTTTCTTTAATGTTTGAGCAATGGTTGTTTGGAGCTACAATTCTATGCCAAGTTAAAACAATACTGACAAAGATAATTTACCTTTGCAAATTGCTCCAGAAGGGCAGCAGCTTCCTCCTCGGCAGCAATACGAGACTCAAGCACCTCCTGCAGCTCCGAATCCACTGAACCATAGTCAAGCTCAGCATCACGCAGCGCCGTCAACAGCCGATCCTTCTCCTTCTCGAGCGCAGCGCAGGGAGTCACTGATCCTCTCTGCCCTCTCAAAGTCCTCGGCCTCACAGGCCTCCTCCAGCTCCCTCTCCAAATCCTTGTGCCTGGATGCCACGGAGGCCGCCTCCTCCGCCACCTTCCTCCGCCGGCCAGCCAGAAGCCTCCTCTTGGCAGCCACGGCAGCAGCCCTCTGCTGGATGGAGTCCAGCTTGCCGGAGATTTGGGATCTGAGGAGAGCCAGCCTCTCCTCGATCCCCAAGGCTGCAACTCCAGCATCTTCGTTCTCTTTCCCATCATCGTCCTCCTCCTTTGCCGCCTCCTCTACACGCGGCGGTGAATTGGTATCCACATACACCGCCTCCGCGTGCGCCTCGTAGCCGTTGGCATAGACATCGACTTGCTGATCAGGGAGCTGATCGATGGTACGAGTAGCGGCCGGATGCGGCGAAGCGTCCAGGAAGGCGATACTGCTAGCGGAGATCGCAGCAGCTGCTGCGGAGGCACGAACCGTGGCAGGAGGGGAAGGCGGCGCGGGCTGCGGCGAGCGGCCGTACCCGATGCGCACGGCCCTCTTCTTCTTCCGTAGCGAAGAGGAGGACGGCTGCCGGGAGAGCGCCGCAGCAGTGGCTTGCGGCGCGGGCGACGGCGCGGGGGCAAGCGGCGCGTGGCCCCGATCCTCGCCTTGCGGGGGCGGCGGCTGCTCCAGCGAGAGCGGCTCCTGCGGGGCGAGGAGGGTGAGATCGGAGAAGAGGTCCTCGTCGAGCGGCGGTGGCGCGGACGAAGCCGCGTCGGCGTCGGGGCGGGCGGCGGGTGGCAGCTCAGGGACAGGGGCAGGGGCAGGGGCGGGGGCAGGGACCGGGTCCTCGGTAGCGGCGGGTTCTGGCGCGAAGAGGACCATGCCCTCGAAGAGCGAGCTGCCGTCCTCGCCACCTCCCCACCGATCGTCCTGGGACGCCATCGCCGCCGCCGCCTCCTCCTGACCAATCGGTGGCTGACGGATCGGGAAGAGTAAAGACGACTACAAGGTGGGCGGTGGAGTGGACTGCGCAATAATGGATGGGACGTGGGCGACGCCGCCACTGCGTGCGTTGCTAGATTAGATCATCGAGGAGTAATTCGTGCGGTAATCGCCGTGATCTGGCATCCGAGTCTGTCACGGTATTACCTTTGTCTCGTACTAGTACCACGGAACTGCTTCGGATGAGGAGGGAGATGATGGACTGCCTGCCTGCGTTGCAAGGCTTACGTGGACTGCTTCTCTTAGCCCACATTTTTTTCTGTTTTCATCTAAAACTAGTAAGGTCCCTATCAAAAAAAAAAAAAGAGTAAGGTCCAGATGAAATTATCTAAAATTCCTGTTTTCCACATTTTCTCCTGTGAAAATAAACTGATTCATCTAAAACTCATATATGATTTCTATGAAATTTCTACGTTACAAAAGACCTTACTAATTTTGCGCTAGAATTTTGGTACAACCGGGGGAATCGTCCTTGTTTGCTTGGAAACAGCAAACTCTGCTAGTCCATGCCAGGAATTTCATTCTTTGCTTCCTGTGTAGGATCAGGTATCATAAGCATCCGTTGTCAGAACTGGACGGTGTTTCATTTCATACAAACAGAGAAGGCCTCTTTACATGAAGTTCCAAGGGAAAAAAATTGCTTACATTTCAGGTGGAACTTCAATCGGTGAGATTCCGAAGGGAATCCTCATTTTCAAGGCCCTGGCCCCTGGCTATAATAATATAGTAATAGTAAAGGATCTTACAAGAATTGCAATAATCCACTGAATACTTTCCACGCATTTGTGCGAAAGCCTGAACAAACTTGTTTCATGAAAACCCTAGCCCCATTAACACCGACTCCTGAATGATGGAAAACAATGACTAGAACTTCATTTCATTACACATGGATGCAAATGTAACCACTGTTTATGCTAAAATAGAACGAGTCGACAACAGAATAATGGGCATCATAACATGTACACCTACAGCTGCATCGGTCAACAAAAAGCAAAACACACCTGTACACAAGACACGGCTGCTATCGACAGTCTATGCATACACGACCAAAATAATAGGGAGTGCAGAGGACACCTGACGGAATCCTGTGTTTCCTCTACTTCAGGTTCAAACTGCGCATCATGCAAATGATCTAGTATTACAGGCAATGTTAAACATAGCCAATAGGGCAAGCAGATTTCATCTCGACTCATGGGATTCGATCCCTCTGTGCGCCAGGTGGAGCAGCTGGCATTGGGAACGGACAATAGACTCCGTTAACATGAGGTGCCTCCACATATGGGCTCTAGAAAACAGAAGAAAGCAAGTCAGTGGCTTGCATGAGAAAGAGTCAGGAAGCTTTTCCAAGATATCAATAACTTGATGGTGTTACAATGGCAAAGCAATCGTGTTTACGAAGAGGAGCTGTTACCGGGACAGGAGGCTGATTAGGAGTGAACGGTGCCTCCCTCTTTGGGGATGAGTCAGGGGAGCTGCCATCATTGTCGTCCATGTTGTCTATATTCTTCACTTGTGATGTTTCCCCCTCACTAGGGTTGAGCTTAACCCGCTAAGTGGAGCAAGAATAAAACTCAGATACTGGAAACGTCAACGGCTTTATTGCTATACAAACAGAAATTGAGCAATACCTGAAAAATTCTTCCTAAAGTTTTTAAGCCTTTAGCACGAAGGCGCAATTCCTCCTTCCTGGCACTACTGTCTTGAAGTACCTGGTATTGGTAGTGTTAGAAATCTACAGCTACACTAGCCATGTTAATAAAGTACTAATGGCTGCAAAGGGAAAGGTGCAGTTGTTGGGACAGACCATTTGACAGACATGGGATAATGTGGCTTCTATGTCAGCAACGTTAAGCTTCCACAAGGAATCAACCATGACTTTCTTGTGGTTTTCCATGTACATTTCAAGTTCTGCCTCTGTGTACTGGCCCTCGGCACTCATATACTTCCTCAAGTCCTCTTGCAACTGCATAAGAGCTATTGCACCTGCCAAATAAGGAAACAACAATGTGTCAAAAACTAAGGAGACAACAAAATTCATGAAAAACATAGCACATCAACATAGATGATGCCAAAAACTGCATTATATGCTTCCAAAATTTTCAGACAAAAGTCCAGTTAAACAATGATTAGTTCTACGTTACCTGTGGCAGCTGTTACTTGGGATTTGATAAAATGCCCTTTGTCTCTGAACCATTCAGCAATAAATGGAACCCCCAAAAACATCGCTTTCTTTCCAAGTTCTTTTGCAGCTTGCCTTGAATATACATAGCCAATAGTGTTCAACATAACAATTCCATATGCTGCCATATAAGCAAAACAGAACCAAAAGAGGGAAAAACTTCAGTTAACAGAGCACAAATTCTTACCTGGAAAGAACAGATTAAAAGAGTAGCCTGAAGTGAACAAAGATTGAGTGCATACTGATAACACTAAACAACAGGTTTGGCCAAAAAAATATTTCCCGTAGGATTATGACACTATCATAAACTTCAGGGATAAGGAAGAATGGCATATCTGCCAGCTGTGATCTTATGTACACCTTTTACTTCAGATAAGAGGTCGGTTTCAAACCTTATTTTCAGTTATTAGTTAAGAGGGCATTAATAAATTCGAATGTGCTTCTCGTGCTTCTATTTTCTGCTTCATTTAGGCGAATAAACTCAATAAGTGGTTGTTTTAAGAGTGATGTCAAATGCAGTAATACTTGTCAAGATATTTAACTATCTATTGAACCATATGATAAATAAAGAGACAAGAAAAACTTATTCAATACCATCGCCAACTAAGAAAACAGACAGAATGGGATTAAAAGGAAAAAAACATATTTGGCATTGAGCGACAGAAGGGATTCGTGGCTAAAACCTGCATTGCTAAGTTTGGACACCTCTGCTTCAGCATGCTGGATGAATTCTTCCTTATTTCCTTGAACATAAGTGTTTAGCAGGTTTTTCAGTGTCTCTGCAAGTTTTTCTTCCCGTTCCTTTTGAACAGCCTGCAGTTTTAGTTTTCCATTCAGCATGATATTATTGCAGAAAGAGTATGAAATGCAAAAGAAAAAAGAAAAACATGGATGGGATATTGACCAACCAACAACCATGATGATATTAAGTTATTAACCAACTATCTCGAAGTTTATATAACAATCCTGCTAAAGGAACATACCTGCATTCTCTCTTGCAGCTTTCTTGCATCAATCTGCTCATCTTCACCAAAATTATCTAGTGAAGCCATTGATGCCATTGCCAGTTGACCAATGTAATTCTCAAAAAGCTCACTACCAAATAGAATTGCAAAAATTGCTGCTGGATCAATAATTCCTTCCCTGTCAAATGTTGAAACCATGTGAGTAGGGATTTTGCTCTCTTATAAGATTATCTGCAGCATGAGTGAAATCACCGGTTAACCCAACAAAATCCCATCTTCGGTGGGAGAACATTATTTGCTCTAAAAAAGTTCCAAATATGATATCCATGATGGTTAATCATGAATCCTGACCCTATGAGCTTAACACCCTCCCCTTTTGGTACAGCCTCTGCTTCCTACTCAAAAGATGCAGCAGGATCATGCCATTTGGTAGCACTCCGAAGCAGTGCCAAAAAAAAGAAGGCCTTGGACTGGTTTGGAACAACATGAAATAGTTTGATTCACATAGGAATAGGAAAATTTTCCCATGTTCCAACAAGCCCTAGTTCCTTTGACAAGCGGCAGCATGTAATTTATTTGTAATTGAACATACGTTGAGATGCCGTCTTTCCCATGTGAGTCATAAGCTTGGCGCTGTGTGGGATCACTGAGAACTTGGTATGCTTCTCCTAGTTCCTGTTATGAAAATTCTATTGAGAACGAAATAGTATGCAAAGTTGCAAACAAAACTTTGGAAAGAGCATCATATCTTTCCTCATAAAGTAATGCCACGTAATGGTATCAAATCGTATTTTAAGACTGGTCATGAAGAATCATATAAGGTATATATAGCCATTCAGTAGCAACGTGCAACATGTTCATTAGTGATGTAGAAGTGTTTTCACTGTAAGCATGCATCTATGTCACATATTCAGATAGAGGGAGAGAGAGTCACATATCACAGTTTGTCAGTATATAATATCATCAGAATCACAAGTAAAATGTCATCATAATTGTCCCTGCACACAATCACAGACACCATACTAGTGAAATAGCCTAGCTCAATGCAACAAGTAAAGAGCATTCAACCTACATTGAGGATGTTAACTTTGGATAAAGGAGTTTGTTGCGGAATTGAGAAATTCACGTCTCAAGTATGAGCAATCCTATTTCTAAAAACAAGACAAATGAAAAGTCTCAACGTGACCTTTCTTTTTAAAATGACATTATGATACATGTATAATGTCTCCATTCTTAAAGCAGCAGCCAGATATTTTGTAGGCTACAAAGAAGAATGACTATCTAAATGTGCATTACAAAATGATATGGAGCAACTCTTCAGTATAAAACACTAAAACAGTAACGGAATGCGTCATACATGTCAGAATTAGATTTTGTTCACTCGTCAAAATTGTTGTTTAAGAACTAGATTCCTATTAATCATACTTCCTGTAATAGATTGTTTTGACTATCCTGTTAGCAATATTAAGGTATCATTGAAGTGAACAGTCGTTCAATAGCAAAGTACTAAGTCTAGCCACCTAATAAAACCCATTTAAACCAGTAAACCCGGCAGTTAGCACTGCCTAAACTTTTTGGGCATTGGCGTCGAGCAATAAGTCCCTAATCTGATTGAATCGAGGATTCTACACTACAGACAGAGTAGCTAGCAGCAGCATCTCTTAGCTGAGCCATTGAATCGAGGATTGTACACTACAGGCAGAGTAGCTCGCAGCAACATCTGTAAGCTGAGCAAAGCATAGATACCACAAGCTGAGAAATGGCAAAAACAGCTATACCTGGAACTTCTCCGCGGCCTGCGGATCATTCGGGTTCTTATCGGGGTGGACCAGCCTCGCCTGCACAGCCACAACCAGCAGCAGCGACAGGAATCAGATCAAACGCCCGCGGCAGAGCAAGCGGGAGCGAGGAGCCGGCCGCTTACCTTGACGTAGTACGCCTTCTTGATCTCGGACTCGGTGGCGGACGGGTCCACGCCCAACACGTCGTAGTAGCGCGTATCCTTCACCATTTTGGCTCCCTCTGCTCAAGCTTCGATCTCCCCTCCGACTCCCCCCCGAATCAGGCTCCAGGTGGGAGCGGATCCGTCCGGGTATCCGGTTGGTGGAGAGGTGACGGGGTGCGCCAGGCGGTGGGATCCGGTGGCGGTGGCGGCGGCGGCGGTGGGGGCGCCGGGGTCGGGGGAGAAGCCGGCTTTTGAGGTCCGGCCACGCACACAGCGCGTCGACTAGACTTTTTCTAAAGATTTCAGGGAGAATTTTGTCAATTGCCACGCGCACAGGCCGTTGGCCAAGTTGCCAAGTTGGACTGGGACCCGCCCGTGGACTGTAGTCCAACGACGAAATCCCCATATCTTCCCACATTTGCATTTTGCTAAAACTAAATAGTCCTTAATGACAGCTCAAAAATAAACTATAATTCAAGCCTACAGCTCAAAAGGAACAATTTGATGTTAGGTACTTTATCATATTAGTAGGACACAACATGTCAACATTAACATAGGAATTAGTATTTAATACTGCAATAACAAAGCCCGATCGAGTGACTTCTCGAAGCTAAAACTAGCATTTTGTAGGTGGGATAGTGCTTCAGACTTTGGATTAACAGAAACCCCACAATATTCCAAACCTAAAAATGGTTCTAAACCCGCCATTTCGATCCTGGTTTTATGGCAATGGTAATTTTGTTGAAAACTCTACTTTTAGGGATTGTCACTCTCGTCTTTTATTAGTATATGTGCACATTAGTTTAGTGTTGATTATTGCCGGTGCTGATTACTTAAGAGAGGGGACCTAGTAAGATTTAATTAATATTACAAAGAAATTATAGCAAGTCGATACGATGCCTTATCACTAGTTTTAGTAACTTATAAAAGTTACAACAGGTTTTTTTTTTTTTTGCGAAGAAAGTTACAACAGGCTTAACCAACTAAGAGGAGCACCCTAAAAAAACAAAGAAAGAAACCACAGCAACCCAATTTGCATCCTAATATTTACTTTATTTAAACAAATAAGTTAATGTTGTCCATTTTAGTGGGAAAACGATTGAGTTACAAGGCCCCGGCGTCGCTAGGTGAGCTGAATGAGAGAAATAAAAATATTTTACTCTCCTTTTTTATTTTCATTATTTGGTCTCACATGTTCTTCTTTCAAATTCTCAAAAGACGTGTAAAATCATTTGACTATATGTTCATCACTAGCAAACTGTCTCTCCTTGCTCTGTCATCCACGTGGACAAGGACTGGGGTCTCGTGACATCGCCCACCATTGCAGACACCCTTAATGTCTTAAACATATACATATCTATCTCTATCTCTATCTCCATCTCTATCTCTACATATATCTATATCTATATTTATATCTGTATATATATCTCTATCTCCAAATACTTTCTCCACTCTAGTTTATAAGACATTTTATTATATTGGTCAAGAGTCAAACTTTATAATCTTTGATCAATAATTTGGCTAACAACTCTTAACTATTGTATACAAACTTGATAATATTATATCTATAGTAAAATTACTATCCAATAATCATAATTTTATAACTATAGAAATATAATATAATATAATTGTATGATGGATGTATAATTTAGAAGATGGTGTCATCAAAAAGAGTACTAAAGAGCAAATGGTCTCTTCCAACCCGTTTTTTATTCTAAAAAATATGTGGTCCAGACTCATCACAACCCAACTGCTCGTGTCCAACGATGGTACGAGATCCAACTTCAAGACATATTAGATCATGTTGTAGTCCATGGGCATGTTTGCTAATCTAATACTAAAGAGCGAATTGATTTTTTCATCTACCTTTCTTTTTATCAAAAGTGCGCTTGCATTCCATGTCGACCGCTCTCATGAGTTAGAACAAATCACATTTAAAAATGGTATAAAATCTAATTCCGAAACATATTGAATTGCATTGCACCACATGATATTTTTACTAAGCCCCCCTTTGGAACGCAGGATTGAAAAAAATGACGGAGTAGATAAAAACGTAGGAATATGATATGAATACATATGTAATAAAACGTAGGAATATGATATGAATACATATGTAATAAAACGTAGGAATATGATATGAATACATATGTAAAACAGAGGAATGAAAAATATAGGAAGTTTGTAGGAATAGGTGTTTGGATGACCTGCAGGAGAAACACAGAAAACCAAACGCATGAGATTTGAGTGGATGCTTTTTTCATATGGTTTTCCTATGAAATCAAACACAGGAAAGTTTTCTATGTTTTTCCTACACCAAAGAGCGCTATAGTGATTCAATCTATAGGAACGTGGATCCTACATTTTTCCTTTGTTTTTTCTGCAATCAAAAGAGGGCCTAAACGATAATTGTGGAATCACTTTACTAAACGATAATTGTGGAAGCACTTCAAATTTTCGAATTACATAAGGTACAAAATGACGAGAATACCCCTGACCCTGAGCAGCGAGTCAGTGACAGGGTGACGGAGTGACAGCTCACCGTCTCCCTCCGCGTCGACGACTGTCGCTACCGTTTCCAGCCTCCTTTCTTCCTCCACTACCGTCTTTTTTCCCTCCCTGATTCAATTGACTCCTCGGCTCGCCGCGCCAGACAGTGTTGAGTTGGTTCGTCTGTAAGGAGAGAGACCACCCAAGACAGCGATGGCGGGGACGCGAGGGGCGGCATTGCTGCTGCTTCTGCTGTCCACTTCGGCGGCGGCGGCGGTGGTGGGCGGCGAGAAGGTCTGCGACAAAGGGTGGGAGTGCAGCGGCAGCCAGTTCTGCTGCAACGAGACCATCGGCGACTTCTTCAAGGCGTACCAGTTCGAGGAGCTCTTCCCCAAGCGCGACTCCGATCTCGCCCACGCCGCTCGCTTCTGGGACTACAAGGCCTTCATCACCGCCGCCGCGCTCTTCGAGCCCCGCGGGTTCGGCACTACCGGAGGCAAGGAGATGGGCATGAGGGAGGTCGCCGCCTTCCTTGGCCACGTCGGCGCCAAGACATCCTGTACTATGCTCTCTTCTTCTCTTTGCTAACCACTCTATAATTTTGCAATCCGATGCCCTGGGATCGACTGATAGATTCAGATGATTTGGTTTTTGAACTGATCGCTTGATGCAGGCATGCTCACTAGTAGAATTCGCGCTCTAGGCATTTAGCCATGTTCCTGTACACTGAGATCTGTAGCCAGATTTATGTAGATGAGTGTAGGATTCCAGGATAACATGATTTGCTTGATATTGAATTGAGAATCTCAATTATCTGGGATTTCTCCAAAGAATTTCACAGAATACCTTCAGCACTAGGATCACAAGCACAGACAATGGAAAGTTGGAAACACATGTTTATTTCATTTCAATTATATCTAACTGTCGAATGCAATGGCATACCCTTGATAGTTACTTTTGGTATTTGGGTCTTATATTTGCAATCTGGTTTTTAATCCAGGAAAACGACACTATAATGGACTTTGGTTTCATCTTGGTAGGTGTGACTTATGAGGTTGGCAAGGTTGGATTTACACACTGTAGTTCAATTTTGTCTGATATTGTTATTATAATACACTAAACACTGGAATGGTGTGTTCCGTTAGGTGGATACAAGGAAGCGCCTGATGGTGAAACAGCTTGAGGGCTTTGCTACAACCATGAATTGAGCCCAAGCCAGAGCTATTGTGATGATAGCAACTAATTATACCCTTGTGTTGAAGGAGTTGAGTACTATGGCCGAGGTGCTCTTCCTGTTTACTGGTGAGGCTATATGTCTTCACTTCTGTTGGTTACGAGTTGAGTAAGTTAAGTGATTTACGATTGGCTATGTTGTTGATGTTTCCCAGGAACTACAACTACGGTATCGTTGGGAAGGGTATCAAGCAGGATTTGTTGAACCACCCAGAGCTACTGGAACAGAATGCCACACTTGCATTTGAAGCAGCCATTTGGAGGTGGATGACTCCAATGAAGAGGAAGCAGCCATCTGCTCATGATGTGTTTGTTGGTAACTGGAAACCCACCAAGAAGGACACATTATCCAAGAGGTTTCCTGGCTTTGGTGCTACCATGAACATCCTGTATGGTGATGCCATCTGTGGTAAAGGATCCACCGATAAGATGAACTTCATTATATCCCATTACCAACATTATCTCGGCTTGATGGGAGTTGGTCGTGAGCGCTCTGAAGATAACTTGGATTGTGGTGACCAGGTGGTTTTCAATCCATCATCAAAGAGTTCTGACTTCTAAGAAATATGTTTAAAAAATCCTTGAATGCTACCCTGTATATCTGGGCCCACTAATTGGCTTCCCAGTATATCTGTGAAACAATGCAATGCTTTTCTCTACTCTTGAAGCAGAGAGAATTAAAATCCAGTTATGTGTCAAATGTACACATTATATTGTCTCCTCGTTGCTGCTTCTTTTCGGCTGCCATGTATATTGTTTTAGCAATAATCTTTTTGTTTGTGGCTTGCCCCCTTTTGTTTTGAGCTAGTATAGTTTAATCCGTCACTTCTAGTTGAGCTTAAAATTAGGGTCGTGGGTTTGTTTGTTTTGTGAATTCGGTCAATTGGCGGTGCGTGTTTTGGTCTTTTGGGTCATTTTGTATTTCATATTATTCTTGCAAGGCTATTTCGAGAGGCACAATTTTGGAGAACTCTTCATTCTTGTAAAATCATAAACAAAAAGGCAAGGTATGTTTGTGCCACAGTGAAAAAGACATCAAAGACAGTGAAATTCCATTGTGAATTACAGAGATAAGCAAGGGTCTTTGGAGGCATAGCTGTTGGACAAAAAAAATTTGGAGGGATAAATATCTCTGGAACACAGCTTATCCAAGTGACTTCGTGGGGACCGGAAGTTGGGAACCACACATGGATAACCAGGAACAGATAGCCTGACTAGTGGGTTGTGTCCTTTTCCTTTTTTTTTTTTCCATTTCAGAGCTGTGGTAGGCTGGTAGCTGTTACTGAAAACTCAGAGAAGGCAAGCCGGGAAAGGGGATGGAGCTCACCAACATCCCCTATATTGCGTCGTCTTCGTCCTCCAGCAGTTTCTATTACAGCTACAGTCGCTGTGCCTGCAGGTGATGTTAGAGAACTCTCATTCCCATATGCATATGATGCAGTCTTGTCTGCATGGAAACAAATAACCTGAGAAATCATTATGTACAGAGGTAGAAGAGATGGGAAGCTGGTAATAAAAGCTGCTGCAGCTGGTAGTAAGCTTGCTGCTGATTCAGTATGTTCACAACTCTTTGAGCAGGAAATTGAAGATTCCATTTCAGGTACACATCGCAGTTCTTATGCTTTGTGTTTCAGTTAGAACCTCATATCACTTGGTTCCAAATCATTTTTTCTGAATCTGTAAATATTTGAATTACAATGGTAAACTTTTTATTGCTTGGGCTGATGCCAGACCATGGAAATTAGTATGGTCAACTCAAAGTTTCTCTTCTCTGGTGGCTCCAGGTTCTAGATCTTCCTGGCGTATAAGAAGGAGAGACTTTGCTTCTGCCATTTTACTCCCTTTTCTGATTCCTCGTATTAACATCTCTATCGCGTAAGTGCATTATTATCACTGAATTTAGCTATTCAGCTCTTAAAATTACCAACCGACATTCAAAGAGCATCTTCTTGATATTTCAAATGGTAAATACTGTGTGAACATGGATTTAGAAGGAGAAGCATGTAATGAGCCATATTTGAAAGAAGGAGCCATAGTCGAATCTAGTAAACTTGGAACAGTGATCTAGTAAAGGAAAAGATCCTTAAATCTGTTTCTTGCTCCTAAAACAAGTGTTATTTATAAGAGAAGTTATCTGGTTGATTTCACAGGGCTGAGATATCTGATGCTTCAATTATTCGAAGTGGTGTGAGGAATGTTTTAACCAAGGCCAAGGCTGCTGGTGTGCTTCGATTGGTTTTCCATGATGCAGGGACTTTCGAAATTGGTGACAAATCAGGTTAGCCTCTTAATACCATGGTTGATTTCAGGTTGATGTAGTACACTATCAAATTCTTTGGATTAAGAAAACTGATAGGTTTTTGAGTAGCATTTGTATAAGAAGACTTCACTGTCAAATTCTTTGGATTAAGAAAACTGATAGGTTTTTGAGTAGCATTTGTATAAGAAGACTTCTTAATATAATGATACGCATCTCTTCTGTGTGTTCGAGAAAAAAAAATCATTTGTCTACGAAAATTATGCAAAATGGTATTGCTAAGGAGATATAAAATTCTATTTGTAAAAGGAAAGAAATAACATCATTTGTGGTGCATACTTGGTAAGATTGCTACCTCACTGCTATACTAGTTCAGCAAAGAGACATATTTGCCTTTCATCAGACTACTAATATTGATACCTTTCAGGTGGTATGAATGGCTCTATAATTTATGAAGTTGACAGACCTGAAAATACTGGGCTGAATAGATCCATAAAGGTGCCCCCCCCTCCCCCGGTGTGTCTTTATCTTTCCTTCAGTTGATGTCTATTTAATTGCCTCATAATTGAACAGATACTAAGAAAAGCAAAAGAAGGAATTGACAACGTTCAGAAAGGTATGTAAATTATGCCATTTGCTGGCTTGCATTTTCTTTATGAACTCCAGTTTGGGTGTATTCACATGAGTCAAATTTCCTGCTGTTTGTGCTGACAGTGTCATGGGCGGATTTGATTGTCGTGGCTGGTGCTGAGGCAGTTGCGCTCTGTGGTGGGCCTGAAATTCCAGTAAGGCTAGGAAGATTAGATTCTAGGTGAGACATCACATTTTATTTTACTCCTTCAACTTACAATTTTAAGAAAGCTATACATTCCAGAATCCAGATTGTGTTTTTGTCTTTGTATCAGTAGTTTTCTGAAGAACACCATTCTTTTTGCAGCATTGCTGATCCAACTGGTAAACTTCCTGAAGAAACATTGGATGCAACTTCCTTAAAAACATTATTCAGCAAAAAGGGCTTTTCGTGAGTTGTCCTTTTTCTCAAGTTATATATATTTTGTGAATTCCAGTTCTTAATTTTGTTCTGTTTAGTGGACCTCATCTCCTCTGACCTGGCAATATTTGAGCAGATTTTATGTTTAATCCCTCTGCCTTCTAGCCATTGCTCCATAAAGCAGGTTGTGTTAATTAGGCCCATGTCTAAAGTTATATTTGGTACATAACAGGGCACAGGAGATGGTTGTTTTATCTGGAGCACACACAATTGGAGGTAAAGGATTCGGGAGTCCAATTGTTTTCGATAACACCTATTTCAAGGTGCTCCTTGAGAAGCCACAAACATCTTCGAGTAAGTGCATGTGCTTATCAATTGTTTCGATTCTGTTTTTCCATCTCCTTTGGATTTTCGAGACGACTTGTCCATCATAACCCATTTGATCTCTATGCTTATCAAAACTTACTGTGTGGTCTTATCGTGTTCCTTTGTGAAGCTGGCATGGCAGCAATGGTTGGGCTGCGCACGGACTGGGCACTCACCGAAGATGACGAGTGCTTAAGGTAGTTTTATGAAATCTGAACTACATCGGCTTTGCTTGATAACATATTTTCCTCGAGTACTGATTCCGTAACAAAATGTATTTAGCACGTGGCTACACGGAATTAGATGGGCCAAGAAAATGCTAAATGTTGCATACTTGAAATCTGCAGATGGATCAGGGTCTATGCAGAGGACCAAGCTAGATTTTTCGACGACTTCAGGGATGCATACATCAAGCTCGTAGACAGTGGAGCCTCGTGGAGAGCGGCTTAATTAGAACCGTCTATTTCTCTACAATGTTAATGAATTTCTCCTCTGTACCAGTGTCTCGTTTGGACCATACGAGTTGCACTGAAATTTTACCAAAGCATAAAGCATTTTGTTTGCAGAAGGTTAATTGGAAAAAAGGCTCTATTTTAGATTCATCCAACCTGTATTCTCCCCACCAATGAATCAGAATTTCTTGCACAAAACTTGTGAGACATGAGTTTACAACACCATGCGAACCCACTGAGAGCGGATTGAAGATTATTACTAGTGAGCTGTAGATTGTTATTGCGTTAGTCTCAAAATAAATCAATTTCTAAAATCATCATAAGTCAAAGTATTTTTAAATTTAACAAACTTTATAGAAAATGGTAATAATGTTTATGATACTTTATAAAAAGATAATTCATGACTTATTAGTGATACAAATTTAACGTCATAAATATTGATGTTCTTTTATATAATTTGATCAAATATAAAAGAGTTTGACTTGCAAGTATATACATTTACTTAATTTGGGAACCACACATGTTTGTCCATGTGTACAAGTACAACTGCGCTCGAAGTCTCGAACACGATAAGCTCCTACAGCCAGTGGTTGGTTTCATGCGCGGCTGAAGCTGTAGCAGGCGATGGAATGAGGCTCGCCGCAGCCAAGCCTGCAGCAATCTCCCTCACCGAGCGCCAGCCGATCCCCATCCACACATGCAGCTCCAGCTGCAAGCAGGCCAAGAAGAGCCGTGGAGACCGGGCATGGAGGGTCGCACTGGCAAGCGGCGACGCCGAGGCTGACGGTGCCGAGGCTCCGACGGCGCGAGCAGGGCGGCGGGCCCGGCTGTCGGCGAGGCGGCGGGAGCGCGTCCCGCTGCCAGACGGCGTCTCCGGCGACGGCGTCGGCGAGTTCCTGCGCCACCCGGACGCCGTGGAGTCCCTCCTCAACACCGGCGCGCTCGAGAGCTTCGCGCCCGCGGGGTCCGGTCCCGGCACGTTCACCTGCGGGCTGCGCCGCATCGGGCTCCTCGGATTCGAGGTCGCGCCGGTGCTCGACCTCCGCGTCGCCCCGACCAGCACCGACTGCACCATCGAGATGCTGTCGTGCAGGGTACGTGGCCGCCTCCTCAATGATTTTCTGATCCTCGTCTGCTCTTGGGATCGGAACATTCACTGATCTGAGCTTCTTCCCTGCATGTTTTCAGTTTGAGGGTTCAGAAGCACTCGAGCAGCAGAATGAATTCTTTTCAGGTAAGTTCAGGCGTCTGTTCATCACTTGTGCCACCGATTAGCCATTCTGAAAATCAAATGTTCTTCCACAATCAATGTGAATGTGATCGATTAGCGATTCTGCAAAATCTATGATGTGTTCTTTCCCCACCGTTCGGATTTCTGAATCTACTAAATTTCGGCAGCGTTTATGAGTAACCATATAACGTGGAGCGACGACGCCGAGGAGCCCTGCCTAGACATCGATGTCAGCTTGGAGGTCACTCTGGAGGTATGCTTTCCATTCACTACTCGGCTGTAAGGTTTCTTATATTCTTTTTTTTTCAAGTTAGAATATACGAAGCTAATAGTGTGCCGATTGCAATTTACAGGTCTACACTAAGCCATTCAGCATGCTTCCACTGTCAGCAGTGGAGAAACCAGGCAACCTGTATGTATGCCTGCCTGTACATTCTTCACATTTCCATGTGTTATTTAAGAGCAAAATCTGAAAGAGAGCACCAGTGGCCACCTGAATCTTGTTAAAAACTAGTAGCTCTGAAAGACCCCCATACAGACACTTTACCAACTGATAGTGAACTACTCAAAAAAAAAAAAAAACTGATAGTGAACATATGAAACTATGTTGGCTCATATCGTAGTGTGATCAGTTTTCAGAATTGGTAATGACACTTGGATTTGACATTTGCACTGAATTCTGCTGCAGTTTGATGCAAGGCCTGCTGGACAGGCTTGTTCCCATGCTGGGAGAGCAGTTGCTGAGGGACTACCATTCCTGGGTTCAGCTTCAGCAGCAACATGAAGCGTCTTGATGAGATCGAGGCAGATCACTGGCCATCCTTCAGAGATCTGGGAAGGAGGAGTTCTGGGGATCCATGTTAGGGATGGTTCATTGCAAAATTGGTTGCTCATGTGTATACAGTACAACTGTCGAAGGATTTAGCAAATCCAGATATAAAAGAATTCCTTAATCAAGATGCTTGATTTTGGTGCACCAACTGGCCATCAATTTGTGCTTGTGTGCTGTACTTCATCAGTAAATAAAAACTCTGCTGTTTTTACTTCATCAATGTATCCAATACTTCATCCAGTAAATAAAAACTCTGCTGTTATTACTTCATCAGTAAGTGAAAAAGTACAGAGGCACAGCAATAACAAACTGATTCAAGTCAGCAGTACAAAAATAACTAAAGCACAATAAAAAAAATTCCGTTGCCGGGACTCGAACCCGGGTCTCTCGGGTGAGAGCCGAGTATCCTAACCAGCTAGACTACAACGGAGCTGTTGTAAGGTGCAAAACGGAATCCTATTTGTTTTATGCAAACAATTCTGAAAGCATGTACTACTAAATAATAATAACGGCAAAACTAACATAAATAATTATCGGATCTAAATCCGAGTTTCTAGACAAAGAGTTTTTTCTGATATTCTTGTGCAGGTGTACGTGCAGGGTGCCAGGGTAGGATATGAATTAGTGAAGGGTAAAATACAATTTCCAACCTCCAACTTGCACTGAAGTTCGATTTTCAACCTTCAACTATGAAACCGGGTAACAAACACCCTCCAACTATCAAAACCGGACAAATTTAATCTTCGGCTGGTTTCAAAAGTGGTTTTCTATTTTCGGGAGGCGTCCAAATTTTATATTATTTTTTTGAGCCTCTTAACATCCTCAAATGAAAAAACTCAAAACAACAAAGTTATAGATCTCATTGAAAGCTACAACTTTAGTATAAAAAAGTATCTTCATTTGACTCCATACAAAAAATATATTATTTTTCTAATGCGGTAAGCGCTATTATGATACTGAAATTTTATATTATTTTTTGAGCAACTTAACGTTCCTCAAATTAAAAAACTTAAAACTAGAAAGTTGTAGATATCATCGAGATTTACAATTTTTATATAAAAATCATCTTCATCTGACGTCGTATTAGTTCATTTTTATATAAAACAAGCTTTTTCATTCTCGAAAGTTGGGGAGAAGATGATTTTTATATTAAAATGAACTAATACGACGTCGGATGAAGATGCTTTTTATATAAAAATTGTAGATCTCGATGATACATATAACTTGCTAGTTTTAAGTTTTTTAATTTGAGGATGTTAAGTTGCTCAAAAAATAATATAAAATTTCAGCATCATAATAGCGCTAACCGCATTTGAAAAATAATATATTTTTTGTATGGAGTCAAATGAAGATACTTTTTTATACCAAAGTTGTAGCTTTCAATGAGATCTACAACTTTGTAGTTTTGAGTTTTTTCATTTGAGGACGATAAGAGGCTCAAAAAATAATATAAAATTTCAGCGCCTCTCGAAAATAGAAAACCGCTTTTGAGACCGGCCGATGACCAAATTTGTCCGGTTTTGATAGTTGGAGGGTGTTTGTTACCCGGTTTTATAGTTAAAGGTTGAAAATCGAACTTCAGTGCAAGTTGGAGGTTTGTACTTTACCCATTAGTGAAATCTGACGAACATTGATTATCCGAAGAGGATAACCCGACTACTTCAAGGAGTCCAAGTGCTCAACACTTTTCAAGTCCAGCCAATCTAGCTCGTACAAGCAATCTTGAAACCAGCAAGCAAGCCAAGCACCTGCATGGCGTGGATTGGTAAAGCTTGATCAGCAGACGGGCGATGCCAGTCCTGCAACTGCATGACGCTTCACGCTGCCAACAGCACAACGATCAAATTTAAACCAGGGCCTTGTTTAGACTATCTCAAAATTCCAAGTTTTTTCACTCTCTCTCCATCACATCAATTTTTGGACGCATGCATGGAGCATTAAATATAGATAAAAAAAAACTAATTACACAGTTTAGTTGTAAATCACGAGACGAATCTTTTGAGCCTAGTTAGTCCATGATCGGACAAAGTTTGTCAAATACAAACGAAACGTGCTACAGTGTTCAGATTGCAAAAATTTGCAATCTAAACAAGGCCCAGACCGAATGTCATAGTTACGTGGGCTAAATTTTCTATACAATCTCACATCAACCCACCTGAACCATTACGGAATACGGACCAAATTCAAACCGGACAGGATTTCAATTTCATCCATCGGCTTAGGGCGCGGTTTTGCTGCGTCCCAGGCTCCCAGCTATATATTCTGACTCCTGACCCATCCCAACTGCCTAATATATGCAGGGTGCAAGGTACCTCAACACAAGGACCTGAACGTGGCCAACCATCTCTAATCACAAGTCAGCATATGTGGATTCTGTTGGAGAAGTGAAGACAACCTGTTCATCTGGTGCATCCAACAAGCTCAAACTCGCAGATGGGCGTGGGCCAGCCAGACTTGCAGCTTGGGCCTCTAAAAAACAGGGCCTAGATCCTGAATTCTGAATGTTTGCGTTCTTAGATTTCACATAAACTTTGTGGCAATGGTTGGTTTCCACTCATTTTATTCTTTGCTCTTCATTCCCTCCTTTCACACACTATCCCAACAAAATGGCATCCAAACAGCCCAAAATACTTGCCATATACTCCATATGTAATACTGTCGCATGCATCGGTTAGACGCATAAAATACCGAAATGCTGCTGTGAGGACGTCCAATCCTCCGGACGTTCCTGTTTCGTAGGCCGCAACACCAGCCCAATGGCCCAATAGTCGTAGCCTCTTGTCTACAAGTCCCTAACCGTAGATTGCTATCTCCATTCTCTAGAAAAAAAATCACCGCAGCTTGAGCGGACGCGCTCCGCTGCGACCGCGCTTCGCCGCGCCGCCCCGAAGTGTTCTCCATAGTGGCCGAGGGCCTGACGGCCAGTATATCCACTGTGCCCGAGCGCGCCGCCCGCCTTGATCGCTCTCCATCGCGCCTCCCGACTGTCCGCCTTCCTCTCTCTCCACCGCTCCTCCGCCCCATTGTGGCCTTATCTAGCTCATCGGCCGCCTTCTCCACCGGAGCAGCGATAGCTCGTGCCGGACCGCCACGGCCTCCTCCAATGGAGCAGCAACAGCTCACGCTAGCACGAGATCGGGAGCGCCACCATCCAGCATCGAACCGATCCACCTGGCCCATCGTGGAAGGGGAAGCAGGGGAGGCCTGTGCCTGCGCCTGCGCCTACACCCCCATCCACCTCGCATCGTCGGCAGGAAGGGGAGGCATGCGCCACCGCAGTTCCCCACCATGTTGGTCATGGCCGCGCGGCGATGCTGTGTTTCAAGTGTTTCTGGATATTTTCTAGACATGTTGCAAGTTTATGTTTTAAGTGTTTCAGTTGTTTCATATGTATGTTTCAATTGTCTCATGCGGATATTGTAAAAATAGATTGTGATGTTGTATATGTTACAATGGTTGTATTGTACACGTATGTTGCGAGTCTCATCCTCAATGTTTCATCGATTTTTTACACGTATGTTGCAAGTATTTCAGACATATGTCTTAAGTGTTTTTTATCTGTCTTTTTTTGTATGTTGCAAACACTACTAGGAATTTGCACTTACATGACGAACAACTTCCGTCACCAAAGAAGCCAAATTCGTTATAATTTCTATCTTCTTTTGTATGTTGAAAAAATTAATGTTGCATCTAGATGTTTTGAAAGTAGATTGGGATGTTTCACATGTTGCAATGGTGTTTCAACATGTTGCAATGTCTCAAATATTTCATCTGTTTTATACATATGTTGCAAATGTTTCATCCGGATGTTGCAAAAGTAGATCTGGTGTTTAAATGTTGTAGTGGGACCCATCTGCCACAGCCACCTGCAGCTGCTAGGCCCGCATGTATGCGTGTGGGAGTGGAGTGGCACGAGCGGCTGGCGCGAAATACGAGAGCGGGCGTAGATCGAGACACGGCCCCGCTTGGGTGCACATTCACGGGAAATGGAGTGGCGTGGGCCCCCACGTGAAGCAGACGTAGGCGTGAGGGCGTGCGTGCGGGCAGGCACAACTGGTGCGAGCGTCCGGACGCTAGCAGTTCCCATAACAGTTGCCATTTATATAACTTGCATGTTGCATCTTGCACGCTACACAATACAAAAACTTGTTTATGATTCTGAATTTCTGAATCATATTGCATAAACAGACGATCTAAATCTTATTCAAACCCACACATATAGACGCAGAAATTTGCTCTATCTTACTGCGACGACCCACTTGGCTGTTCACAGAGCTTGCCAACTATCCGTGGACCGTACGTCAGTACTCTCGCCAGTCACTTCTTCGGCGTCGATGATGGAGCATAGGTTTGTTTCATCAACAGCTCTTGTCACGAGGTTCTCGCCATCCATGCCGTCCGTGTTGTCATCAAGTAGTGCAGATGCACCTTCACCGGCAGAAGAACGACCATCCGCCGCCGCTGACGCTGTCGCCGCCACCATCAGCGGTGGAAGGCGGGCGTCGACGGCGCGGGCGTGCCTCTGCGCGATGGCCTTGACGCTGGCGACGTTGAGCTGGACGCGCACCCACGCGGGGATGTTGGGGCGCGGCGCGCCGGGGTAGTTGAACCTGCGCCTCCTGGGCAGGTGCACGCCGTAGAAGCAGAAGACGGCGGCGTCGTAGGCGAGCGCCGCCTGCCTGTCGGTCTCGAAGGTGCCGATCCACAGCTTCTGGCGGGTGCCCGGCACGCGGACCTCCGCCGCCCACCGGCCCCACTGCCGTAACCTCACGCCAGTGTACTCCGACGGCTTCTGCGGCCTCCCAGCCGGCGCCGGCGCCGGCACTCTCCTCGCCGGCCCCCTCCGCGCCGTCCGGTTGCTGCTTGTCGTCATAGCACGTCACCTCTGCAGGCTGCAAGAAACACACAAGGCAAGAGCACGTCCGGTGTGTGACTTGTGAGGACGGGCTTTATAGGCGCCATGAGGATGACACGCAGCTCACTCACGAGGGTATGTACGTGAAGTCGTGAGGGTGAAGAGAGACCGGCCGAGTGTATCACTGACGCCGGCCTTTGCCACCGAATAAAAACAGTAGTCAGATCAGCCGCCGCTGATGAGTTCTTTATATCTTCGATATCTATCTCTAAGAAACTGCGCGGGTAGTAGAGTTGAAACTTTGTTTCCTTATTAAAAAAATCTCTAAGAAAGACTCTGCAGTGTCTATACTGATGCATACGCGTGTAGGTCGACATGGAGAATGTGGTTTTGTTACCAGAGATATTGTTTTTTTATAACTAGATATTGTTGCATTTACGTTGCTGCATGCATGCGTGCACCGCTGAGAGAGAAGAGATTAATTAGGTGGGCATAGAAGTCCTACTAATAAACAACTTTTTAGAGGCAACTCACTTTTAGTGTAAAGGCAAATTTATCAAAACCCGAGTCTACAAATGATTTCTACCAACCCAAATCAACTTTTAGAGGTGGCTACAAAACCTAGTCGGCTCTAAAAATCTTATCTTGCCTAGAAATAGATTACTATAGACAAGGTAGTTGGTAATTTGGTTCGCCTATAAAAATAGGTACAACATAGTAAAAATCATGAGACATGACTTTTCCGAATTGAGTTAGGTGAGTATAAACTATATAAAATCTGTAGTACTCGAAGAAAATCTACAATTTTGTAGTTGATTGGCGTTTTCAATTGAAACCATTTAATAAGGCACGAAAATTCTATTTTAAGTTTTCATAATTTGAAAACTACCATGATTGATAGAAGGTTCACTATCAACATATGTGTGAGATCATATTTGCATGAGATGAACAATAGACCAAAAGATATATAATCATGTTGCCTACTTATTAGTTGCTTACCATAGTTGATCAGCCTCTCAAGTGTGGTGTCATTAAATTCTTTTTCACATGGAAACTACTATAGAAACTATGGGTTGGAAGTGATAGTTTTCACTGGTTATTTATTGCTCTCTCTCTCTCTCTCCTCTAGAAACTATCCATGGAAACTATGGGATGGGACTGCCCTTATATCTGTATGTGCAAAGAGAGGGAGAGGTAACTAACTCTTGGATGGCTTGTACTAATAACAATTGTGGATGCTCTAGGATTGCATGTACAAACATGAATGTGTGTGTGTGTGTGTGAGAGAGAGAGAGAGAGAGAGAGAGAGAGAGAGAGAGAGCATATCTCTCTACATGCAAATTAAAGAGGGGAAAGGTGACTAGGGGCATGCCTAATCACCTCGCCAGGCTAGCATGGAGCATGAAAACCTTGCTTGGCTAGGAGAGCCAATTTGGCTCTCTCAGGCAAGCAAGGCAAAACTAGCCTGCACTGCACAAGCCCTGAGGAGGTTAGGCAACATATCCAAACAAGCAAGCTTGCTCCATATCCTCGCTCATCAAGCAAGACGACACAGTCCCTAAGAAACCAAGCAACCCCTAGATCGATCTCAGATGACTTGTGCTAACAATTGTGGATGCCCTTAGAATTGCATACGCACACAAAGAAGTGTCTATTTTACACATAACATCTTACACATTGATACAAACTACAAAAACTTGTGATTTATTACATACATATATAATAGTCTAAATCTTATTGATACCCATATAGAAGCAGACCCTAGATATCGCTTTGATATATTTGTAGTTCGCACAGCTCTTGCTAGGATCAATGGTTAGTACTTAGTGTATATAGAGGTCATGATGGGACCCAGGCATCCGGATGGACGCCGAGTCCGGACACCACCTCTGCTCGCTACCGCACGCCCACGCGACGCAACCCCACTCCCGCTCCCATTCGACACTGCGCCGCCCGAGAGATGACGACGATGACGATTAGGGTTCCGGTGACGGCGGCGATGACCTCCCTCTCCGGTCTCTCCCCCTCTTCTTCTCCAACTCCGGCGGGCTAAGAAGGGATTTTTGGTGGTGGTGGTGGAGACAGGCCGTCCAGGAGGTGGGAACGGCGGGTGGGCGGCTTAGGGTCTTGGCGGCGGTGGATGCAGCCGGGCCAGGTCGGGGTAGGGGCGTCGCGGCGGTGCTTGCCGGCACCCATGGCCATGGCGGCGGTGGGAGGGGGAGGGGAAGAAAGAGGCCGCCGCAGTGTGCAGTGGGCGAGGAGGAAGACAAATATCACGCGGGGAGGAAGAGGGCGGAGGGGTAGTCAGGCGCGGAGAAGAAGAGGGCAGAGAGAAGAATATGCTTTCATCAAGAGTACTTGTAACGATATTATTCTTATAAAAATCCCCCACCCAAATTATATTTGAAAAGATGAGAATTTCCACATGGTGAGCATATGGCTGTTAAGTTTACCTACCGAAAAAAAAATGATGACATAGCATTATAGTAATAGCTAGTTGATACTACATTTTGTATTCGTTTCATTTGGCCATAAAATATTTTCATATCAGATTATATGTTATATGCACAATGTGAAATTGACATGTGAAGAAGATGGATACTCCATCCATCCTATGATATTGTACATCCCAAAAATTCAAAGACAACTTAAGGGAATACTCAAATGACGCATATACTCACGGATCGGATTTAAACCCAATAAAGGAGTTTCTCTTCAAATTATGGGTTTTTTTTTTAACAAACTCTTCCAAATCTGAGCATGGGCACAACATAGAATGTCTTATATTTGAGTACAAATTTCAGATGTCATAAGGCACTTTATTTATTCCAGGACGGAGGGAGCATGTGTGACAAATGTTCCATATCTTGTCTACTATTTGGAGTACTATCACTTTTAATTTTAAAGTATTTCAGACAAATTGTTGTTCTTTGACTATATATCACTATTGGGAACTGCATTTTCTATGCACCAAGAACCGTCCAGGAAATAAGGAAAATTGTTAGGGAAATTAATTATGTTGGGAACCTGATAGGCAAATCCCATCAAGGATAGATCAACAGATAAATGAAGTTTGCAAGTGAGTTTCCTAATAGAAAGTTTATTTGTAATAATGATAATTAAGGTGATAAGAAACTGTAGCACCATTAGGTTTACAAAACCATCAGGAGCTATCATGTGAATTATTCTACAGCCTTACCATTTGGGATATTATTAATTTTTCATATATGTTTCTAGGAATTTCTCTATCAGACAACCTTCAAAGAAATTGTAATATTTATATGTTGGCTTTGCACAAAATCTCTGTTGGTTTCTCCTCAAGGAATTGTATTTTCTTTAATCAAATGTTTTTTTATCATTTAAATCCATTCTATTTCAGGAAATAATAGCATTAAAAAAATCATGTAACATGTTGCTGAATTCCAAGATGCATAGATATATCAAACGTTATATGCATAACTCACATTTGTAGCATATGAATTGGAAGGTCTACCAAATTACAATGCATTCAACGTGGGTCGGTGTAGCAATATTTTTGTGTTGACAAAATACAAGTCCATCTAAAATTGTCCTACCTAAACACCCCCTTAGTTAAAAAAGTTTAGAATTTTCCATCATGACCATACGAGTATCAAGTGTACTGGCACAAAAAAAGTTGATGACATAGCATATGCAGCGATAGCTTTTTGACAAAATTTTTTTTGTAGGCATTTATTTTTCCATGAAGTGTTTGCATATTAGAGTATATGTTACATGCACACAATGAAATTGATATGCGAAGAAGATAGATATGTGTGACAAAATTTTCAAATATTGTCTATTCTTTGGAATACTAACACTTTTACTATTTTTCATAGTTCGGTGACTATAGGTATATCCAACTTCGCCCACAATTTTTGTTAATTATTAGTTTTTAGAAAACTATGGCAATCAGATTGGTTGCCTAAACTTTTTTTTTATTGCAAAGGAGCAACATTTATGAAAACAAGGCAAAGCTTTGCAAGAGATAATTACATTAGGGAAAGGAGAGAAGCAGCAAAGCAAGGAAAAACAAATTGTCAAGCTAAACAACCTAACTTACATAGAAAAGGAATTACCCCACTCATTCAACCACTCTCCATCAGAAGTTCTATGGCACTATATGACAATAATAGCAGCTCATCACGTTAAAGACAATAAATTTAGGAAATTGCTTCATCATTGTGCCTGGAAATCTTGAGTTCCTACATTTCTGAATATTCTAGAGGATGCATATATTAGAACCATGCCTCTAATCTTCATGCCTTGTTCTTGGAGGAGGTTGTCTACTGCTTGCCAGAGAGAACTCAAATCAAGGATGATGAAGCACCAGAATTCTGAACCCCAGCGGCAACTTAAAGAAGATAGAAGCAATCCTCCCGTTCTAAACAAAAAAGGGCACTGCCCCTCATGTTGAGATAACTAGTTTTAATCTCTGCACGAAATGTTTCCATATTGCAGTTGCAAAACCATCATCTTTGTGAGCACTGAAAGCTACTAGGTAAGAATTCCTCATTTTAGGGATTTTCCTAATACATCTAACTATCTAAAAACTCTTGAGTCAAGAGTTGTAGAGTAGATCAAGTTCACTGAGAAACAAGAGAATTGAAGTTCCATCAGTTCTGAGTGTGACATGCAACATGGGTTATACTAGGCCTAAGAGAAAGCTGTAAGTTTCCACTGGTGATTGTGGAAAAACATGTATTAAAACAATCTGGATTGTAAAAGGCTAGGATTTTTTTGGCATCATGGATTGTAGGATTATTTGATTGTATCATCGGTTGTGCAATGTCTGTAGTACGCCAAATGTTATGAGTGTATAATTATTTCTTTTTATCCATTTTGTAGCATTATTTGTCTTACATCCAATTAAAAATGAATAAAATGATAAATTATCTAATCATATCATAGACTTATATAAAAATGATACATCATCCGATGAACATAGTGCATCTAATCTAATACAAATAATACATTCAAGCATCAGCTACATATAATTCATCCAAGCAACTGAAGACCTGACCCCTAATACTAGGGTTGCAATAATTGAAAGAAGGTTAGCCAAAACAATGAAAACTGCTGTTGCGCAATGATACAGCTAACATTGCAGCCAAATTTGAACATACTCCTACACAGGTTGTGTGTTCACATGAAAAGCGCATTCATTTTGTATACATCAATCTTTCCAAATATAGAGCATCCATAATGCATCCATCCATTCAAACAAGTAGTAAACTTAAAGAATGGATAAACAAAGGTTTAATGAATGTAATTTAATCAATATAAGTACACAAAACCCTGAATATACTGCCATAGGATAGTGAAAATGTGGCGGTGGTCTGGTCTAGCATCGATCTAGTCTTGCCTTAGTTGAGGAGTAGGCTTCCACCAAGGTAAACTTCCTAGCGCCAGTTGAGTGCATTAGTCAGACGGGAGGGAGATGCAGGGTCGACGGGCCAGGACTGAAGGCTGTGTTTTGGATGGCGTGTGCTAGGACTGGGACATAGGCACATGTAAGGTGGTGGCCCACTAGGGTAACCGCATAGGCATATGATGATAGGGAAGAAAGCTAGGCACGTGTAGACGTGAATCTATCAAGAAAGAAAACGAATGGGTACATGTTGTTTAACCAATGGCAAAGGTGAGTACATATGTATGCTTTTTTTGAGGAATCTGGAGGGGCCAAAGCCCTACAGCTTTATTAGTAAAATGGGATCAAAGATAAGAAGAAAAAAGAAGATAACTCAAGAAAAAGAAGGAAACAAAAAACATACGGCTAACCAGCCAAGCTACAACAGACTCTGGAATCTGGATCCATTGATGAAACAAAGTGGCTACTTGGCTTTTGCCCGCAGAGATGTGAGGGTTAATTCCTCCATGAACACCCTTCTGCAAACATTGATACTTTGATGTCTTCCGTTGAAGATGATTTTGTTTCTAGCACCCCAAATCGTCCAGCACATGAGAATTACTGCATTAAAGAAGTCCGTTTGAAGATGTGTCTTCATTCTTAGAATCACCTCTGGAAAGGAGCACTGAAGTGGAAGATTTAGTCCAAGCAAGCTCCAACATTCTCTTGCAAAGGTACAAATGAGGAACAGATGATTTCAGCTTTCTTCAACTCCTTGACAAAGAACACAATTGTAGGACTCCAGAAACATGCTTCCTCCTCAAGATGTTTCTTGTACTTAATTTGTCATGAAGCAGTAGCCAAAAGAAATACTTCAAACTTATTTGATGTCTACTTTGGTTTGGTTAGAAGTCACAGTATGGTGCAAACAAGGGGAAATAGATTGCTTATTGTTAGCAAAGGCTCGATTGTGAGAAATAAAAGATTGTGTAATCTAGTTGTTTGTTTGCACTTGTGGTTGTGAAATCACCATTTTCACAATCTGTAGTGGAAACAAATAGATCCTAAATCTAAAGAAGAGAGCACATATGAGACATTGAGGCATGCGGCTGGATGGTATGGCTGGAAACTTGTGGATCTGTTCATGACTTTTTTTGAACTTGGATTTGTTCATGATTAGTAGCACATCCTCATATATCATCCCCCACTGTTGCTTTAAATTTGAATTATTCTAGGAAACTAGATCCCAGAATTCTAATGCCCCCGTTCTCAATTTTCAAATCAAATTTCGCACGCCAACTGTTGGTTTCTGCGCCTTTTTTCCTCTTAATTTCGTCCTTTCACGTTCTCTCCCAACAAAATGGCATTCACATAGCAAAGATTACTCAACATATATGATACTAGATCCCAGAATTCTAATGTCACAGTTCTCAGATTTCAAATCAAATTTCACATTCTCCCAAACAAATAGGCATCCACATGGCAAGGCAAAGAATACTCAGAATCACACCGCTGTATGTATTTGTAGACATCGATTGGACACACAAACTAAAACATTATTCCCATTTTAGAACTTGTTCCATCTTACAGACATTGATATCAGCTACAGACACTTGTACTGATTTATTGACCAGACCATGGAGCCCTAAATAGACGCAGATCCATTTTTTTTTTGAAAGAAACAGACGCAAAAGCATATATAGCAGTTCGCACTTGCCAGGATCGAATTAAGCAGAGAGCTCAGTATACTCTCCATCGGACACAAGGTACGTCACGGAATCGAGTTCAGCCTGGAAGGCCTCGATGTCAAAATCTCTAATCATCTGATCGAGCTCGTCGTCCTCGTCCAGACTGTCAGGAGGAGCAGGTCCACCTGCGCCGGCAGGAGGAGCATCCACAGGCCCCGGCGTCGCCGGCGCCACCACCAGATCATCAGGTGCAGCTGTGCTGTCCGCGTCGTCCAGCGGCGGGAGGAGCGCGTCGACTTCGCGAGCGTGCTTCTCACAGATCACCTTGACGTCGGCGACGCTGAGCTTGAGACGCTCGCTCTCGGAGATCTCCGGGCGCGGCGCGGCGGGGAAGTTGGTCTTGCGCGCCTTGGGCGCGCGCTCGCCGAAAAAACAGAAGACGGCGGCGTCGTAGGCGAGCGCCGCCTGCCTGGGGCTCGTGAAGGTGCCGATCCACACCTTCTCGCGGGTGCGCGGCATGCGGATCTCCGTCGCCCACTTGCCCGAGTGCCGAAACCTCAGGCCGGTCCACACCGATAGCTTGTGCTTCCCGGCCGCCACGCCCGGGTGCCCGCTCTTCACCCTCGCCTTCCCCTTCCCCTTCCCCTTCCCCTTCCGTGCCGCCGCGGCGCTGCTGATCGGCGCAAGCAACAGTTCACCGTTCTCGTTGCCGCACATACTGGCGTCACGTCAGCTCACCTGCAACTGCAAGCTGCAAGAAAACAGCACGAGGGTAGTGTGAAGGGCCGGCGAGGTCGTCAGTGTGTGATGTGGGAAGGGAGCGGAGGGGGAGGGGTTTTTTATAGGGCGCCAGGAGCTGACACGCGGCCGCTTTGCTCGCTAACGACGAGGGTTCTCAGGGAAGAAAACCTGGCGTTAATTGCCATGCATCTTCTTTCTATCTCTAAGCAGCGTGGTGTATGATGGTATTGATGTCTACGCAACTCATATACGCGTAGGCCGAGATGGAGGATACGCTTTTGCTAGAAGGGATACTGCTGCATTTACGTAGCACGCATTGAATTAGAGATAGAGTATAAGGTGAGGTGGGATGTAATTAAGTTGCATTTTAAAAAAAAAATCTGAAGCACAGTGTCAGTGAAGCTAAAACAGCAAGTTTTGGTCAAAAAGAAATCAAAAGTGGCAAATCTAACTTAAGTATTTTATAAAGACAAAGGAATTATTAAGTAGTACTCACAAAACCATATTAGCAGTAATTAACCCAACCATATCTCTATTGGTCAGCTGAAGATTATATATATATATATATATATATATATATATATATACATACTAATACTATACAGTAACATACAGCCCTGGTCAACTCTATCAGTATGATCGTATCAAAAAAAAAACTCTATCAGTATGACATATCTCCAGATTCCAAGGGGAAAGAACAATAATCATCAATTGCCAAAGGGCCCCACGCTAAACTTGGTGCCAATTGTCTTGAAAATTATTACTAACTACTACTCCATCCATTCTAAATTATAAGACATTTTGATTTTTCTAGATACATAACATTTGCTATGTACTTAAATATACACTAGGTCTAGATACATAGTAAAACCTATATATATCTAAAAAGCCAAACAATAATTATTAGCTAACACTAAAAATTATATATGTGGCCTTAAATTAGCATTTTTATTAATTCTTCTTATTTGTAATTTCTATTTATTTCTATTCATTTCTGTGTGCAAGAGTAAACTTACATACTACTTCACTTCAATACAATTCACATTTAGTTTTTGGTTGTTTTATTTATCTCCATCTTATACAAAGGGAAATAACCAGCACAACAAACATAAACCAAAAGTTTTTTTTATTGCCAATTCTAGATATAGCTGCTAGTTGGTTGGGAACATATGTATTTTGAGATCTGCAATACCAAAAACCCACCATATATTGGTGTCGACACGGAAATTTCGTCCCGTGCCGAGGGCACACGAGTAAGCCAGAAGGGTCCGCTCGATGGAGCTGGAGATCCGTTTAGCTTCAGCGCAGGGGTGGTCGATCCTGCGCACTCCTCCCGAGACATGCCAGTCAATTTGACCCTGCAATTGACAAGAAGAGAAAGTTTATCAGTAATTTATGGCGAAATATGCCGGTGTTGCCAGACAGTCCCGAATGTGCGGCTCTGAGAGCCGATATGAAAGGAGATCGACTAAATAGTCGATTCCAGCATATTCATAAGAATAAATCAGTCAAAGCTCATGGGGTTGTATAAGAAGAATCAGTTATCGTTCAGAATGAATATCATTATTTGAACAAATATTGATCAATGACAATAAAATGTCAATAATAATTGGTTTATGCTAAGCCAATGACTGCGAGTAACCGAACCTCTTTTTATGTGAAAGAAACAGCTCATCATCATTCAACCATTTAATAAAGATAAATCTAATGAACATATTAGATCTTATCTATCGCTATGACCAGTGGGGCATGAGGCAGAATCATGCAGGCCGTAGAAACAACAATAGACTCGACGACCCTAACTTATTACTAATATCAGTGGGGCATAAGACAGAATCATGTAGGCCGTAATACAATAATAAGATCATGGGGCTAACACATCTTTCAACCTATTCCTACTTCAACGATCTCGTGATGTGAACTATTCGTGAAAGCGCTCGATATCGGCTAAAACAACCGATTCAGGCATAGCCCACAGTTAAGGTCATGCCATCTCAGAAATACATCTACCAAATAACGATCCCCACTCCACGGTGCTAACAGTGGGGTGTGAGGCAGAATCACAGGCCATGATAACAGACCATGGAACGGTTTTCGCTTGCCAATAGATCTAGTCGAGATCAGACATGCCTTAACCGCACGCTATGCACGATCAAGATTGATATAAAACAACCGATAAAACATAACTCATCGTTTAAAGTGCAGATTAGATCAATTTAGATTAACAAACGATGGGTTAAACAAGATATAAGGCTGATCTAGATCAATCCCAATCGGGCGAAGTGATATTGCTGTAATTAAATAAATAATAGAAGCAATAAGCAATATCGATAACTTAATGAATCTATTCGAAGGAACGCCACCCTTAGATAGAGCCGATGACTTGACCTTAATCTAGTTCGAGCAGTGGAGGTCGACCAGATGGATGTAGCCTTACTTGAACTAGACAAGAATCGATAACTAACTTATACTAGAGTCGCAGTGGAGGTCGACCGGATCGATGCTGCCGTACGAATAGAGGTATAAGCCATGATGATACTTACAGACAAGCAGTGGAGGTAGACCGGATCGATGTAGCCGTACTTGCTGAAGAACTCGCAGAGATCTACTCTACTCCTACTCCTAAGGGGTGGCCGGAGCCGAAAAAAGTAAGTAACTTGTATTGGATTGATTGTGTGTTTTCTTTACAATAGTCGGGGTTTGATATTTATACCCGGGACCTGCGCATGACTCCTATCTAAGTACGATTTATCACAATCTTTGGCCCTGGAGAAAACATTCCTAATCTAAGATAACTTGGACTCTAATCTTTCCCTTTTTGTAGAGTCCAACATGCCTTGTCCCGGCGCCGATCGTAGCCTTTGTCATTATCTGCTGGCGCTATCTGAGGAAAGCCGATTCCAGTGTTGCATCCGAATCAGCTTATATCGACCTGCTAGCAATTGATTCCTTGATGACATAATCTTGGAGGCCTTCGAGTCCCTGCGATTCTTCTTCCCAAATTCTGGTGTAAACATACGCCCCCCAATTTTAGGATAAAAGTAATTTTATTCCAAAAGTATCACGTCTGTACCCCCAATAGGTCCACAGTCACGGGTAGAGAATCTTGATCTGGGGTCTACTATTTGTCGTCATCTATGTTAGCTCATGAGCCCATGCTTCAAAACTTTTTACGAGAGCATCATTGCTTCACGGGCACTTGGATTCATCTTTCCAGGCCGGCTATAAAATGTCTATCCGAACCTGGTGAGAGCAACTCAACAATTCAGCCATGTTTCTCTTCTATCTGCCCCCTCGAGTGCTTCCGACTCTGCCGGACCCTCCATGTTCTATCCTTTTGCTATGAAGATCTTGAGCGGTTAGAAGAATTCTTGTGCATAGGGTGATTGTGTCGCTCATTCTAGCGCCTTATCGAGCAAGAGGACCAGCTATTGTTGTTAAGAATTCTTATGATATCACCTGAGTCTTCTCTCCATGCTCCCAAAGCTGTTCTAGTGTTTGCATGGGCTAAAATATGTGGACACCTTCCCCTTGTTTGTTCCCACCAAATGCTCACCGGGAAAGCCACAGGCTTCTTTCCCATAGTTTCTCAATTTACCGAGAAATCGGCTGGGCATCTGTTAGGCGGGTGGCCTTTCCCCTTCTCTGGCACAATTTTATCAATGGGCCGATGTGATTTGGTTCACGATGACCTTCGGCCTTGTGGGGACCCAGACTCCCTTCAATCCAAAGAAGCCTTGGTGGGTTGATCTCTGGTCAATGTAAATTCTTCGTATCCATCCCATGATATTTTGTAATTTGAGGAAGCAATAAGTTCGAATCTGTTATCTCTTCATTATCTGTCCCCTGAATTTCTGGAGTGTCGATCCGCTTCCATTTCTAATTTCAATTTCACACCCCCGGTGAAATCTATCTTCTCGCCTTCGGGCTATATATACGGGCCACGGCTGTGGATCGAAAAACAACCTGCTTTGTCTCAAACCTTCTGCATCCTTAGTATAGTTCCTACTTTTTTCGTAGGTTTGAGATCATGGAGAACAATAAGAGGTCTACTGAGGAGGCCCTCAACGGATCTGCATCATCCCGCCAGCGCCTTCATCGCCAAGAGGGTGTAACTTGGGCTGCTCCCATCGTTCTGGAGCAGAGGGCTAACTCTGTTCAGCCTTTGGGGTCACCTTCAGCACCAATTCACCACCAGCTCCCCCGCTACTCGATGAGGTAGATCAACAATGACGATTTGCCGGCCTCCATCGATCGGACTGACTAGAATCTGGCCAGCTGCCTCTCCCTTGCAGAATCGGCTTTGGCCATGATTCAAGGCCGATCATCCCCTGAGGCTAGCCCGGTGGGGGAAAGGTTGGCTAGAGCTGAAGCCAGAATCATGGGTGAGACATCTACCATAATTTTTCTGTCTTCTTCTTAATTTTTCCTTCAAGACTTCTGATCATTCTTCCCTTAAATCTTTTTAGATCTAACTGCTCAGTTAGAAAGCCTTCGATCAACTACGGATCACGCAACGGGATTTGTCAATGCCAGGGGCGCTATTCCGGTGGTTCGCTTGCATGACATCCTGAACCGTGTCAGGAAGGTCGCTCTTCATGGCATTCATCATGGTGCTGCCATGGCGTTGGCTGCTGCACAAACCCGTTCTGGTCACAATCTTCGTCTTCTTCCTCACGGGTTTCCAAACGCGGTGCATCCTGGGGAGCATGAGCGTTTGGTTGAGGATTTCTCTAGCATCGCCAACTCTGTAGCCTTCAACACCCTGGCCGATGATATAGTAAGCAAAGTGTTTTTCGGCCCGTAGCTTGTAATAAGTGATATTTAGCAAACAACTTCCTCGTCTTGAGCGATTTTGCTTTTCTTCGTACTTCATATTATACACACCACTTCGTCCGTGTTTGCTTTGCTCCTATAGGTGATACACATCGTACCGGCTTTACCCCTTCGGGTTTATTTTTGCACTAAATGCGATA